TGAACACATCTAATGAAGCCCGTGTTGACATCAGTGCTCGAGGATTCTGGACACAGGGATTTTTGATCCCTTGGCCGCATGTCACCGTAACTTAGCTCTCGATGCTGCACACAGGAGGAACGAGAGCGACAAGATAAGGGCATACGGAGAGAGAATTAAGAACGTTGATCAAGGCAGCTTCACTCTTCTAGTGTTCACAACCTGTGGTGGGATGAGACCAAGTGCAAGATGCTTCTACGCCAGACTCGCGGAGGTAATATCCGAACAGAAGCAGCAGCCCAGAAGTTATGTTTCAGCCTGGATAAGATGTCGACTGTCCTTCTCTCTCCTTCGGTCGGCTTTGCTTTGCCTCATGGGAACGAGAGCATGGGCCCCAAAGCCGACAACAGTTGCAGATATTGACTATGAGGTTACAGTCACTGAATGCAGCATAGATCCCTGGCTCAACAAACTCAACACAGCTAAGATAGCTACTTATGTATCAAGATATTTAATATTAAGGTAATAAATTGGCGACGAATGTATGGCTATTGGGGGAGGCTGGAGGCCACAATAAAAAAAAGAAAAAAAAAGGGACCACCTGTCAAATAACTATGGCAAAGATCCATCACCTGATGACGACATGTCAGATGATAGCGGTGAACCCACTCAGTCAGAAAATACTGTTCATGAGGTGAATGACATACAGTCAACAAGTTGGAAAGGCTTTTTGGGGGAAGATGCGGAGAAGTGGGTCAAAGAAGTCTACTCAGAAGTGGTCAAGTGGTCGCCAGCTAACTTCTTTGAACCACCCAAGTGTGCGGCTATCAAAGAAATGATCCGGGAGATGATTCAGCTCATAATCAATTGCACTCATGAGAGCTCCCTGATCCCATCAGCTCTTCAAATACTGCCTAAGGATGCACGCAAGAAGTAAGAGTAAAGAAAATGTGGCATCAAAGAAGAGAAGACTGGCAATGTGGCAGCAAGGGGCTCTTGGTGATCTCTTACACCAGGCAAGAACACTGCAGAAGAGACTAAAATTCATAGGAGATGGAAAGCAAAACATTGAGGATGTTGCTAAAAAGTTTGGTAACAAGATGCGTGTGGGAAGTGTCCTCGGCGGTAAGATCTCTCACAGAGAAATCTTTTGGTGGTGTGCTGCCAATAAAAAGAGAAACCTTACAGCTATTGAAGGAAAAACATCCCATTTCGAGTGCAGAGGAAGGCACCAGGTTCCCGTGTGACTATGTCCCTCCAAATGCTGTCATGTTCGAGAAAATAACAGGAACGGATAGAGTGGAAAAAAGCACTGAAGACACAGGGAGGGGTTGGCCCTTCAGGCCTGGAAGCAGACAGATGGAGAGTCATCCTCAGCACTAACAAGTTTGGTGACGCAGCAAGTGATCTCTGAAATGTCACCGCCGCCCTTGCAAGAAAGCTAGTAACCTCATCCTGCCATCATCTTCATGATCTGGCGGCCTGCTGCCTCATCCCCTTGGCCTATAGGGGCGGGGGAAATGCTGAGACGGATCATTGGAAAATGTATAATGGAGCTGATTAATGATGATGTCACGGCACCTGCAGGGAACCTGCAAGTATGTACTGGCCACCAGGCTGGGGTGAAGTTGCCATTCACGCCATGAGAAAGGTGATTGTGAGGCAGTAGTCCTGGTTGACGCTTCCAATGCATTCAACATAATCAAGCGCAAGGCTATTCTGCACATCGTCAAGATCAGTTGTCCGAGCTTTGCAATATATATTGAAAATACCTACAGGAACCCAATAGACCTTTATAGTATATAACAAGCTTCAAAGCCCCAAGAGGAGATACCATCATAGAGTCAACTGTCGCTATGGTAATGTACACAATAGGTCCATCCGTGCTCTAACACGAAATAAGCTATGAAACAACCGAGGTCAAGCAATTGGCATATGCTGATGACCTTACAGGAGCAGGAAAAGTGGAGGATATCAAAAAGTGGTGGGACCTGGTAATATTACGTGGTCCACAAATAGGGTACCACTCAAATGCTAGCAAGAACTTCCTCATTGTGAAAACAGAACACTATGAACGGGCAAAGGAGGTATTCACCAGAAGTGAGGTCAAAATAACTAAGGACGGCCAAAGACACCCAGGTGCGGTAAACGGCTCGAATGACTTCACCGAGTACGTAACGGTAAAGGTAAAGGAGTGAGTGAAGGATATTGTTAAAACGGAGCCACATGCAGCTTTTGCGGCATTTACCCATGGAGTCAAGCACTATCCCCGATTTCGGATACCTCCTCAACCTTCTGGAAGGAGCCATCAGCCTCATTTTTGTTCCAAAATTAGTGAAACACCCTCACTCAACCCCTTGCATTACCACCGAGACTGGGAGGAATGGGAATGACCCATCCAGAGGAGCTTGCTGCCACCGACCATCAGAACTCAGTCAAGCTCACGGCAGCCCTCACTGAGCACATAATAGCTCAGAATGCATCAAATGAGGTGGACACCAATGAATTAAACAAGTTTCTACGGTCCATTACGACAGAACGAGAGCACCCCAAAGCGATAAACTACAACTGATGCTGCAATTGCCAGAGAACTTGAAAAAGAGTAACTGTAGCACAGAAGGTGGGCGCCTTGAACTGGCTATCAACGTTCCCGATAAAGGCAAAGGGTTTCAGTCTTAATAAACGAGAATTCACAGATCCATTGCTCTAAGGTACGGTAGGCCAGTAGAAGGTTTGTTCTCCCAATGCGTGTGTGGCTCATCCTACGACATTGACCGTGTCATGGTGTGCAAAAAAGGGGGCTTCGTATGCATGAGACATGACGGAGTAAGGGATCTCACAGCAAATTTACTAAAGGAAATCTGCCATGATGTCACGGTGGAACCGACCCTTCTTTCATTGGACGGTGAGAACCTCCATCACAGGACTTCGAGCACATCTAATGAAGCCCTTGTGGACTTCAGTTCTCAAAGATTTTGGATGCGGGGACAGCGAGCTTTCTTTGATGTTAGGATATTCGACCCTATGGCAGCATGTCACAGTAACTTGTCTCTTGAGGCTGCACACAAGAGGGCGTATGGCCAGAGAATTCAGAATGTGGGTCAGGGTAGCTTCACTCCTCTAGTGTTCACAACCTCTGGCGGAATGGGACCAAGTGCAAGACGCTTCTATGCAAGACTGGCGAAGATGTTGTCTGAGCAAAATCAGCAGCCCAGAAGTCACGTTCCAGCCTGGTTGAGATGTCGACTGTCCTTCTCTCTGCTTAGGACTGCATTGCTTTGCCTCAGGGGATCGAGACCGTCGGCCACAAAGCCGACAACGGTCGCAGATATTGACTATGAGGCAACAGTCTTTGAGTGCCGCATAGATCTGCGGCTTAACTAACTCCAAACAGCCAGGGTAGCTACTTTTGTATTAATTTAATTTTAAGGCAATAAAATATCGGCGAAGGTGTGGCTATTGGGGGAGGCTGGAGGTCACGTAAAAAAATAGTAGTGGTAGTAGTAGGAGTAGTAGTAGGAGTAATAGTAGGATAATAATATTTTCACTACTTAGGCCTATATAAATTCTCGCTGTGATTCATGCAACACTAGATATTTACAGTCTTTAATAATAAACACAACTCTGTCTTATAAGTGGTGGCTGACATAGGCTGTACTCGTGAGAGAGATCAACCTTACTGATAACGGCAAGATAAGCAGATAAAGGTTAATTAAGGTCTCCCCAATACAATATCATTAACCCAGCCTGATATATAAACACACCATCATCACCACCATCATCATCATCAACACACAGGAGGAACGAGAGCGACAAGATAAGGGCATAAGGGGAGAGAATTCAGAAAGTTGATCAAGGCAGCTTCACTCTTTTAGTGTTGACAACCTCTGGTGGGATGGGACCAAGTGCAAGAAGATTCTATGCCAGACTCGCAGAGGTGATATCTGAACAAAAGCAGCAGCCCAGAAGTTATGTTACAGCCTGGATGAGATGTGGACTGTCCTTCTCTCTCCCTCTCTCCTCAGGTCGGCTTTGCTCTGCCCCAGGGGAACGAGAGCTTCGGCCTCAAAGCCGACAACAATTGCAGATATTGACTATGAGGCCACAGTCACTGAATGCCGCATAGATCTGCAGCTCAACTAACTCAATACAGTTAGGATAGCTATTAATGTATTAGGATATGTAATATTAAGGTAATAAAATGGTGGTGAAGGAATGGCTATTGGGGGAGGCTGGAGGCCATTAGTAAAAAAAAAAGTAGTAGTAGTATTAGTAGTAAAGCATCACTTCAACAGGAATGCAGTAGCTGCAACGTCGTGTGGATCACTAAACCAACATATGAGGTGGTCCACCCTGCTGGCTGACGTGGAAGTGATGACATTGTGTCGGCCTTGGAGGAACGTGGGAGAGGGGGCGGCGATAACAAGTGGAAGAGGCGCTGGGAGAAGAGGTTGAAGACACAGAGAGGGTGCAGGAAAATGAGACAGAAAAAATAAAATAGACAAATGAGTGACAGGAGGAGAGGTACCGAAAAGAGATTAGGGAGAGAAATGAAAGAAGAGGGGGGGTCATCCTCTTCCCTTATGCCCCTTCTCCCTACATACATGTGAGGGAGATAGGGGCTGGGAGAAGGTCTTCCTTATCAGCAGGCCACATTGAATAGTACTGTAGCAGCAGTCCACTCACTATCTGTACTTAGTTACGAGAAGACATCCACGCCACGCACCAAACACACAGACAGGCAGACACAGACACACACACGCCCCTCCACGTCACATCATTCACGAAGGTAAGAACTATTTTTAAGGAGCCATTTCACCCTTACTTGCGGCATCCTTGTCTTATTCCGTGTACAATTTCTCCTGTGATTTATCTCCCCAAATCTCGAATCCAGTTTTCATATTGGTCCAATTTCACCTCTTTATAGACACAATGTAACTCTTGAGACCGATTTCCATAATACTTATTGTTATGCTACTTATCCCCAATTTTAATCTATTTTCAGGTTTTGAGAATTTTCATCTTAACAACCAAATTTGATCTCACACTAGGACCAATTTCACCGTTTTCTTAAGGATTATTACGAACAATTACGACACAATTTCTGCTTCATCCAAGAATCAATTTACATTCTCGTCTTTAAACTTAAAGTGGGACCAATTTCTACCGGTTTTTCAATCAACATCCTAATCGTTTCCCATTTTACGTGTAAGGCATTATTTAAGGTCTTTAATCATCATTTACACAACTTCGTTTCTACTGTGGACGAAAAAAGTTAAAAATCTTCATCTATTGTTTTTTGTGATGTCCGTCTATACCTCAAGTCATTGTATATCTACGTGACGTGATGATGATGATGATGATGATGATGCTTATTATTGTTATTATTATTATTATTATTATTATTATTACTATTATTAGTGAACATGATATGAAACTACTATGAAAGTGAGCTTATATGAGCAGTGAACATGACATATTGAACAGTGAATCATCATTATGTAGAGTGGATTGAATAATGTGGTAACAGTGAACTTAATAATATAAATAGTGAAGAAAACAAGATGACACTGAACATGATATTAATAATGAATATAATATAAACAGTGAAGATAACAATATGAAACTAATGATGAACATTATGAAGAGTGAATATATTCAATTATCAATTTAAAGTTATACAGACACTTTACCTACCATTATAAAATACTACAATATACACAGGTAATTAACTAGATCACCTGAAGATTAACCATCCTAAGTTTGACCTAATATAACCTAACCTAACCTAACCTAACCTTAACTAAACTAACTTTAAAATGAAATAAACTGTTGGGTAATGTTCAGGTAACAATAATAATAATAATAATAATAATAATAATAATAATAATAATAATAATAATAATAATAATAAATAAATACAAAAACGAATAAATAAATCAAGAGTGAGAAACGATACACAGTATGTATGTTGTGTTGTACACGGACTGTAAGAGAAACAATTGAGACCCTGCAATTGTGTATAAATGAGGCAGAAAGTCAGATCAGCAACCTGGGACTTGTCACAACTTTCGTGATGCCATATGGTAGCAGGGTCTACCATTAGACAACACATTATGCTTCCAGTATCTTCCCAGGCGGTAGTACCTCCCTGATTGGTAGCTGCTTACTACCTACTACCTGCCAAGTAGACTCTTAAATACCTATAAAATCAAAATGGCCATAAAACGTTGATGGGGATAATGATGATTTTGTTGATGATGATGATGGTGGTGATGATGGTGTGTTTATATATCAGGCTGGGTTAATGATATTGTATTGGGGAGACCTTAATTAACCTTTATCTGCTTATCTTGCCGTTATCAGTAAGGTTGATCTCTCTCACGAGTACAGCCTATGTCAGCCACCACTTATAAGACAGAGTTGTGTTTATTATTAAAGACTGTAAATATCTAGTGTTGCATGAATCACAGCGAGAATTTATATAGGCCTAAGTAGTGAAAATATTATTATCCTACTATTACTCCTACTACTACTCCTACTACTACCACTACTATTTTTTTACGTGACCTCCAGCCTCCCCCAATAGCCACACCTTCGCCGATATTTTATTGCCTTAAAATTAAATTAATACAAAAGTAGCTACCCTGGCTGTTTGGAGTTAGTTAAGCCGCAGATCTATGCGGCACTCAAAGACTGTTGCCTCATAGTCAATATCTGCGACCGTTGTCGGCTTTGTGGCCGACGGTCTCGATCCCCTGAGGCAAAGCAATGCAGTCCTAAGCAGAGAGAAGGACAGTCGACATCTCAACCAGGCTGGAACGTGACTTCTGGGCTGCTGATTTTGCTCAGACAACATCTTCGCCAGTCTTGCATAGAAGCGTCTTGCACTTGGTCCCATTCCGCCAGAGGTTGTGAACACTAGAGGAGTGAAGCTACCCTGACCCACATTCTGAATTCTCTGGCCATACGCCCTCTTGTGTGCAGCCTCAAGAGACAAGTTACTGTGACATGCTGCCATAGGGTCGAATATCCTAACATCAAAGAAAGCTCGCTGTCCCCGCATCCAAAATCTTTGAGAACTGAAGTCCACAAGGGCTTCATTAGATGTGCTTGAAGTCCTGTGATGGAGGTTCTCACCGTCCAATGAAAGAAGGGTCGGTTCCACCGTGACATCATGGCAGATTTCCTTTAGTAAATTTGCTGTGAGATCCCTTACTCCGTCATGTCTCATGCATACGAAGCCCCCTTTTTTGCACACCATGACACGGTCAATGTCGTAGGATGAGCCACACACGCATTGGGAGAACAAACCTTCTACTGGCCTACCGTACCTTAGAGCAATGGATCTGTGAATTCTCGTTTATTAAGACTGAAACCCTTTGCCTTTATCGGGAACGTTGATAGCCAGTTCAAGGCGCCCACCTTCTGTGCTACAGTTACTCTTTTTCAAGTTCTCTGGCAATTGCAGCATCAGTTGTAGTTTATCGCTTTGGGGTGCTCTCGTTCTGTCGTAATGGACCGTAGAAACTTGTTTAATTCATTGGTGTCCACCTCATTTGATGCATTCTGAGCTATTATGTGCTCAGTGAGGGCTGCCGTGAGCTTGACTGAGTTCTGATGGTCGGTGGCAGCAAGCTCCTCTGGATGGGTCATTCCCATTCCTCCCAGTCTCGGTGGTAATGCAAGGGGTTGAGTGAGGGTGTTTCACTAATTTTGGAACAAAAATGAGGCTGATGGCTCCTTCCAGAAGGTTGAGGAGGTATCCGAAATCGGGGATAGTGCTTGACTCCATGGGTAAATGCCGCAAAAGCTGCATGTGGCTCCGTTTTAACAATATCCTTCACTCACTCCTTTACCTTTACCGTTACGTACTCGGTGAAGTCATTCGAGCCGTTTACCGCACCTGGGTGTCTTTGGCCGTCCTTAGTTATTTTGACCTCACTTCTGGTGAATACCTCCTTTGCCCGTTCATAGTGTTCTGTTTTCACAATGAGGAAGTTCTTGCTAGCATTTGAGTGGTACCCTATTTGTGGACCACGTAATATTACCAGGTCCCACCACTTTTTGATATCCTCCACTTTTCCTGCTCCTGTAAGGTCATCAGCATATGCCAATTGCTTGACCTCGGTTGTTTCATAGCTTATTTCGTGTTAGAGCACGGATGGACCTATTGTGTACATTACCATAGCGACAGTTGACTCTATGATGGTATCTCCTCTTGGGGCTTTGAAGCTTGTTATATACTATAAAGGTCTATTGGGTTCCTGTAGGTATTTTCAATATATATTGCAAAGCTCGGACAACTGATCTTGACGATGTGCAGAATAGCCTTGCGCTTGATTATGTTGAATGCATTGGAAGCGTCAACCAGGACTACTGCCTCACAATCACCTTTCTCATGGCGTGAATGGCAACTTCACCCCAGCCTGGTGGCCAGTACATACTTGCAGGTTCCCTGCAGGTGCCGTGACATCATCATTAATCAGCTCCATTATACATTTTCCAATGATCCGTCTCAGCATTTCCCCCGCCCCTATAGGCCAAGGGGATGAGGCAGCAGGCCGCCAGATCATGAAGATGATGGCAGGATGAGGTTACTAGCTTTCTTGCAAGGGCGGCGGTGACATTTCAGAGATCACTTGCTGCGTCACCAAACTTGTTAGTGCTGAGGATGACTCTCCATCTGTCTGCTTCCAGGCCTGAAGGGCCAACCCCTCCCTGTGTCTTCAGTGCTTTTTTCCACTCTATCCGTTCCTGTTATTTTCTCGAACATGACAGCATTTGGAGGGACATAGTCACACGGGAACCTGGTGCCTTCCTCTGCACTCGAAATGGGATGTTTTTCCTTCAATAGCTGTAAGGTTTCTCTTTTTATTGGCAGCACACCACCAAAAGATTTCTCTGTGAGAGATCTTACCGCCGAGGACACTTCCCACACGCATCTTGTTACCAAACTTTTTAGCAACATCCTCAATGTTTTGCTTTCCATCTCCTATGAATTTTAGTCTCTTCTGCAGTGTTCTTGCCTGGTGTAAGAGATCACCAAGAGCCCCTTGCTGCCACATTGCCAGTCTTCTCTTCTTTGATGCCACATTTTCTTTACTCTTACTTCTTGCGTGCATCCTTAGGCAGTATTTGAAGAGCTGATGGGATCAGGGAGCTCTCATGAGTGCAATTGATTATGAGCTGAATCATCTCCCGGATCATTTCTTTGATAGCCGCACACTTGGGTGGTTCAAAGAAGTTAGCTGGCGACCACTTGACCACTTCTGAGTAGACTTCTTTGACCCACTTCTCCGCATCTTCCCCCAAAAAGCCTTTCCAACTTGTTGACTGTATGTCATTCACCTCATGAACAGTATTTTCTGACTGAGTGGGTTCACCGCTATCATCTGACATGTCGTCATCAGGTGATGGATCTTTGCCATAGTTATTTGACAGGTGGTCCCTTTTTTTTTCTTTTTTTTATTGTGGCCTCCAGCCTCCCCCAATAGCCATACATTCGTCGCCAATTTATTACCTTAATATTAAATATCTTGATACATAAGTAGCTATCTTAGCTGTGTTGAGTTTGTTGAGCCAGGGATCTATGCTGCATTCAGTGACTGTAACCTCATAGTCAATATCTGCAACTGTTGTCGGCTTTGGGGCCCATGCTCTCGTTCCCATGAGGCAAAGCAAAGCCGACCGAAGGAGAGAGAAGGACAGTCGACATCTTATCCAGGCTGAAACATAACTTCTGGGCTGCTGCTTCTGTTCGGATATTACCTCCGCGAGTCTGGCGTA